ATAAGTAGGTAGGGCCGGGCAGGTTGGCACAGTCTCTGGTCGCGTGTCCCTTTTCGCGTGTCCAACCTGTTTCAGGAAATCGAATTTGAAAAATCGACAGTGAAATTGGTACAAATTGAGCATGCCATTTGTTTCTGGTTTTACTCTTCGATTTTTCGAATTTAGTATCGCGTTCGCGGTCGTGGATAGGTCGCGAGTAGGTCCCGAAACGAACGTTTATGCAGGTATTGCTCGAGCACGCACGTGCGAACGAACAACGATCACTGTGATCGATGATCGTCCATGTGTACTGGAGTCAGCTTTCCCGGTTTATCTTTTTATTTCACCTTTATAAGTTATTTTTTGGTTTGCGATTAGAAAGACTCGAGCTTAGATTTAAGTTTCAGCGGGCATCGCGCCCGAAGAAAAGAAGAGGCCCGGCAAACTGCCACGAAGAGGGTCGCAACAAATGGTTTCTCATCCTCTGGATTATTTAAATGAATCCAGAGCATGGGAAGTCATTCTCGTTACTACTTTGTCACTATGCTCTTTTAGTATTTGTAGTTGTATTTTTTTTTTTTTCTTTTCTATGGTCGTTTATTATCGTTTTGGGCAAATCACAATTTTTCTTATTAGTGTTGCGAGAGATCGATTACGGGTTGTATTAGAGTTGCGAAATTATTTCGCGCCTGTTTAGCGTTATGAGAAATTGATTATGGTTTACATTAGAGTTACAAAGAAGTGATAATCGTGTTTACTTTAGAATTGCGAATTATGACACCGCGATTGTCTTTAGCAATTTTGATTGTGAATTTTTGAAGTTGTTTTAGAGCTTCCTATTGTTTTGAATTAAATTATAGAGTTATTGTTTTTAATTAATTTTAGAGTGTTAGAGTATTTGAAGTAGCTTTTCATTCGTACATTTTTGTATTGTTAATGATAATTTTCATGGAATTTTACTTTAGAGTTAGCGTTGCGACATTATTTCATCGCGATTTCCGGTTTACTCTTAGTGTTGCGATAATGAATGATCGCGTTTCTTGATTTAGTGTTGCGTTTACAAAATGCCCAAATTCTTCCACTAAATTCGTGGAAGGCTGTTCCTGCTCCTGGATCACCTGATGCAACTACAAGAGTATTACAAAGGTGGTCATTCATCAGCAACTTCCAGCATAGTTGTACTGGACACGTCGCAATTAGTGTTGCGTATTTCTAAATATGAGTGCATAGATTAATAGTGTTGCTTACTTACTTTCGGTTTTAAATATGACGAAGCACTCTTCGCGTTTGATTTTGAAAATTTCCTATTTTACAATTAATGTTAGTGAACTAGTGTTTCGAAACAAGGTACGTGACAATAGTTTTTCTGGTTATTGTATTTTTGAGTAGAATGTGCTTGTTTTCTAATAGCCCTTCTGGCTAGTGTATTGTGGTTTTTTTCCAGTGGCACTTCTGGCTACTCGCGATTTCCTTTTTAATAGCCTAGCTCTTCTAGCTTTTCATTTGCTTCTTTTTTTTCCAAATGTTCGGGACAGTGGTGTGGAAATTTTATGTTAAGTTTTTTAAATTAATATTCCAACAAATAAGTTTGTTACAGATTTATCAAGTTGGATGGATAAGACATAGAAGAGATGGAATGAGACATGGACTATGGAATTTGGGGGAATGATGCCTGGATTCTATCTAATGGTAATTAAATATATCTTGTTAAATTTATTTCATAAATCTTTTTGATATCAACAAAAAAATATAGATAATTCTATTATCCAGTATATGATCCAAATATTCAAAACAGAATGCTCGTTACAAGATTTAATAACTGAAGTAATATGAGTTGATTGCCTGCGGTATAGTGCTTTAATCTTGGTTAGGTATTTATGTAAATGTACATATCCATTAGATTAATGAAAAATGAGTAATGTATAATTGGTATAATGTATTTTGATACTTGGATGTCTAATTTGTAAGTGTATGGAAAATATTTCATGCGAATTTGTTTATTTTTGATACAAAAATATTTTGGAATGCCTAGGATTAATTACTTCTTTTACAATGATTATATTTATAAATGAGAGGGTTGTTCTTTCTTCTTTTGTTTAATTTTTCTCATATTCAAATTTCTCATAATCAAATTTTTGATAAAATTTATTTGAGCTGATAGGTTCTTTAATATTTTATTAATAACTTTAGGATTTTAATTTACTATATGAATAATATCGTAATACATGGATAAAGCTTCTTTTGATACATAGTAAAGTGATTTCGGTTAGTCACTAGTTTCACATTTTGATATTGGATATCTGAAAACACTGTAATGGATTTCAAAAATTATATTTCTGGCGCCTTCACTGTTTGATCAACTTCGATCGTTTTACTTGAGTAGTAGTTTCCCAACTCACCGTTGTTTAAGCATAGAGTGCGCTAAAAAACCAGTGATTTTCTACTATGTCGGTATTTCAGGTCACGGGCCCGAAAGATGTTTGGTTTATTCATATATCTTTGCGCTAAAGCATTCTCTTTATCCCAATTTTCATATTAATCTTTATATCAATACAAAAAAGCATGCTCAGCATAACGCAGTAGTTTCCTAGAATCTCTGTTAAATAAATCGATCGTGGCTTTGTGACAATGGCGCCAAATGTGTCCACTGATCGTATTTCGCGTTCGAAAATAGCGGCGTGCGAAGATAATCGAAGAGGTCGCTGCTGACGTTCGGGTGTATTCGTTGGCCGGCGACTTCGAGGTATACGGGGTCTACGAGACTCGAAGCACGGAGCCCCGCCCTGCCGCCCGCCAGAGCCGTGAAGCAGCAGTAGTAGCAACAGCAGCTCCGCTTGCTTCGTACAGTTTTTATCCATGAAAACAACTTCCTGAACATAGTATCGTTCGGCTAGTCGTAATAACTCGCGGTACAGGCCGTGGCCCGTTCCGTTGTTCCAGTTCATGCAGTGACGGTTAACCTTAAAACGCAGTGGCGGTCGCGGTTGTGTCGCGAGACAGTAAACCGTGGTGATAATACGGATTCGTCGCGATTGTTGAAACTCCGCCGCTTGAAAAGTGCGTTCGCTCTGTTTCTCGGCGTGGCTCGAGACAGGGAGGTGTGAAAAGGAAAGTGCACAGTCATCGATGTGAGAAGTCGTGGCTAGGAGGAAGGCCCGTCGCAGCAGGAGGGAGAGAGTGAGAGGAGCTGTTCGTGGATACGAGAGGCCGATAGATCGAGCCGGGAATTTAAGCAACTGTAGGCTCCGTTAGGGAGCTCCAGGTATAATAACAAATATTTTTTCCACTGTGTCTTGTAATTTCCTAGTTTTGTACCTAGCGAGGGTGACATTGTAATCTCGTAGCCCTAATTGTGGCCCTTCGACTCGATCGGAATAGCCAACATGGCGACCGCCTAGGCTACGCTGTCAAATTTTCCTGTTCCGTCATCGCGGTTATTTTAACATCCACTGCGTTACTCTCGTCCACCAAGTCGCCTGATATCTCAACGTTAGTGGAAATATCCTTGGCTGACTGGCGAGGAATTTTGGTAATTTTGATTTACCAACTTCTCGACGTCTGAGTCAGTGCCGGCTCTCTCGGTAATGAGATTCTTCCTGCTTAAGTGGAAGCTTTTTCTCGTCCGGGAATTTTTAACAGCGTAGAAGGAATAACAATGAAAACTCGAGCAGCCTACGATTACGCAAGCTGAATTAGAACTTTTGCTTGGCTAATGATATCTGAGATTACCACAAATTTACATAGGGGATCAAGAACCATTAATTTGTACGGTACAAGCGTCAGTATTTCGTTATCTATTAATGTATGTGTCGTGTGTTGTATGTTTGAAACTACTTCTTACGTTCGAATTATTGTGTTATATTTCACTTTTGTTTTTTCGATTCTTCGTTACAAAAGACGTTATAATAATTATTTGTAGACTATTTCTATATTGCTATCGGTAATTTTATTTGGCGTAGAGAATGAATAATAGCCACTGTTCCTATTCAGTGTTGAAAATATTGGTTAAGATGGCGTGGAATTTTGTCGATATGAACCATCATTATTGACACTTATTTAACTACGAAGCAAGCCTATTTGTGTCAAAACAATGACGGTGAATCGAATGTTGCACGATGTACGAGCATCACTTTTTCATCAAAACAAACGTAATTTTCGCCAGCGTATATCGAGAACCGTTTTACTTTTGGAAAAAACGTGAATCCGTGAGGTATAATATCACGACGCCGCCTTTGTACGTTGACTACACGTGTTCTCCAAAAATATGACACTTTCATCATCCAGTGCGTTTTCTAATTATTGCTCGAGGTTGAACATTAGACGTTTCGGATGTGAATCTTACGAATTTATTTTTAGCTTTGAACGTTACAATTATTACACTTATAGTCTACGTACATTGTAAACAATAAACACTATATCTAATCGGTGTTACTGGCTGGATGTTATAAGCACCTGTTTAATTTGAGATTTGCCTTGATGCTTGTCGCGTTTCTAAGAATCGTGAAAGCGTTATTTCGAGTAGTTTTCGAGGTAATCGGTTTTAAAAACGATCCAAGCGTGCAGAATCACGGGCAAGCAATCTTCGTTATCATCGCTGTTCCTCTTTTTCTTGTTTTCCAATTTTTCTTTTTTTTTTTTTTTTATATATATATATTATTTCTCTTGCTGTACTTTTCAAAAAAGTTATTTCCGAGCAGTGAATCACGCGAGAGAAACGAATGACAAAGAAAATGTAATCGGCTCGACGCATTGAAGACCTTGAATTATTGTCCAATAATTTCGCGTTACCCTTTTGCTATAACGCTCCATTTGGAAATGGAGCGATACCAGGTCAAGAATTTCGAACGCGTGAATTCCACACGACGTTCTTCTAATTGCTTCTGTTTTTAGAGCGGGAGGCGATAATTCTTTCAGTGTTTCTCTGTCTCGGCTGGTATCAGTTTATCGGTCGAATTAACGTTGTCTCTCTGAGCAGAGAGCAAAGTTTAATTGCCTGAGCAATTTCTTGAGAAAGAAAGAGAAAGAAATTGACAGAAGAGGACTCGGACGAAAACTGGTTGGTTTTCCCTGCACAAGCTCAGAATTAAACCTAACGTTGACTCATGTACTAACGAAGCAAGAGAGAGAGAAAAAAAAAGAGAAGAGACAGAACGAAGACGAAGACTACGTTGCGATTGGTCTGCCAATTGCTGCACCAGCTATATCTTAATCGTCTTTAATTGGTTCGAAATATAAAGTCGTCGCGGGTCTCGAAGACAAGTGGTATCTTCGGTTCAATTGACAGTGTTCCACTTGTGAGATACGACGTCGATAATATCTTTTATCGCTCTCTTGCACTTTCGATCTCGGGAGAAATTGCATTCGACTACAAGTGATTCATCAAGCCGGCAGATTACCACGGAAATCGTGGAAATGTAAACATTTACGATCAAAGTTGATACACCTGTATCACGAGTAATATTTGCGAATGACGTTTCGTTCCGGAGAAAACGTGGTCGGGCAAACTTAATCTTTGTAATTTTCCTACATATGGAGATAAACAGTCTAAAACGCGTGAAAATAACGCTTATCGTAATTGGCGTCAGCGAAAATCCTAACGGGATAAAGGAACGAGCATTATTGACATTGAATGTGTCATTTTTCATAATTGTTAATTAATTCCTATTCTTTAATTTCTATATTTGAATTCCTCATTGATGAAAATCCCATAGATTTAAAGGGATTAATGATATTGTATACATAATGTATGTTATTCTTTTGAAAACAAATTGGAAACGATATAGGAATAGGAAGGAAAGAGAAAAAGAGTCCGATTTGTTCAGGATCTGCTAATGAACTTATTTACATTACATTAGCGATGTTACCTCGTCTCACTTGTTGATTAGCAGTATAGTTGAAAAAGATACAGAGAAGAGATAAAATTGGTCTTAGAGTTGATATAGGAGGAAAGAAAGTATTCGAGATTTCGAGATTTAGAATCATGTGATATTAATTCAGTTTTCTTTGTAGCATATTTAAGGGAATATTTATCTATATAATATACAAGATTAAAAATAGATTCTTGATGCAGATTCATGGTAGATTGTTGAAGTAAGAAAGACTGTCATTCTTTTCCTGAAGAATATTTTTTATGTATATATTTTATTAGGAATATAATTTAAGAGTTAAAAGAATATTGTTTAAGTTTGCTTTAATTAATGATCATTAGTTGTTTATCGTTGAAATAAGAATAAGGACATTGAACTATAATAACTGCTTTATGTGCATCATGTAGAAGTTTTAAATACATGTTTTCATGCGTAAGATTTATGACTTCATTATATCGTCTGCACTAATTATAAAGAGAAAGAGAATTTCATGTAGTGTAAATGTATTCTTTGAATACGATAAGTGTAGAAAGGCTATTTCATTGATCAATTAATTTCATTTTTTCTATTTTTCTATTATGTAAAACAACGTTCATCTGCAAATATTACGAATAACAGAGATATCTCATTCATGGATGTATAAGAATTAACGGTATTAATCATAGAATATGTTGTTTTGAAAGAAAATTTCTATATTACATTTTTCTCTCTCACGTGAAATCACATTCAGTTTGAAATATTGAAAGAGAGGCACGCAAGATATCTCGTTCATAGATGCGAAGGGGTTAATGATGATCACGTTTCGACGGTTAGTAGGTCGCCAAGTACTTAGTCAGTGCGAAAGTAATGCCAATGACGTACACCACCAGCAAATTCCCTTCTTTCCTGGCACCATCCAACCCCCTCCGAGTTCGTTGCGGGGTCACGTCCTGCTACACGTTCCCCTCGTCCGGCGTGAATTGTTCCTTCTGTTCACTCAGTGGACGAGAGTCAGCGGAAAACGAGCAGAGGAGGGTTGCTGATTTTAAAAACCTTCGGCTAGAGTTTGCCTTTGGGTTTCGAGTCGGGTCAGTTCTGAGAATTCAACTCTGGGAAGCTAAGTTTCTCTTTCGTTTCGAAAGAGTCGCTGTAATAGAACGTTAACGAAGACACTTTGTTGTAAATTAGCCGGAGGGTTTGTCGAAGGTGAGATCAGGATCCGAGTGTGAGATTTGAATAGATTTGTTTTTTGTTTTTTTTTCCAAGAGTAGAATAGTTTAAAGTGATAATAACCAGATTAGGGACAAGCGAACGTAACAGTATGTCTTTACAACAGTCCAATTTCCTTTGAACCGGTCCACAAGCCTTCTGGATTCTTGGATAATCCAAACATTCAAATGCCCGCTTTACTCTCCCTTCTTCCTTTGACGTCATTATGATTCATAAAAATAGCGAAACGATCTGTTTGCGGCTTAATTTTTTAACACGTATTTACATTTCTTTGATATTCTTTGTATTATTGAAATCTGTCTTTCATTTCAATGCAAAGGAAATATTTTCGTGTTTTTTACTAGTTATCAGTTTATCAGCGTATTAATATTGACACAAAGTTGTATCATTCCAGTCCCAAGTAGTATGTATATAGTAGCATACCATTCGACTCCTTCAGAAACAAATTTGTTAATAGTAGAATACAAATAATTTTTTTTTTTTTAAGAAGAAAAAATTATGAGTAATTATTGTATATCAAGCTCATACTTGATATACAATGCTGGTACAAAATTATGTTATTAAATTTCTAAGTAATACAGAACTTAACTTCATCAAAAATTTATTATGAACAAGAAGAAATTAATGTTCTTTGTATTTTTTTTTTTTTAGGACCGTGCTTGAATTAAAGGCGAATAAAAGATACACATATCAATATCCCTGAGAAAGTCAAACGACGAAAAATTGAACTAAGCGAGGCAAAGAGCAAGATTAGAAGCGAGTGAAAAATCCTGACACGAGGAATTCCATATTCAGGTTACTTTCTGACGTCACGGTACGCCTTCTGACGTCATTCACCTGCTGTAGCATCTCCGCAACGCATCTCCCATCCCAGCTTGTTTCGTTCGAATTTCGCTGGCCCCTTTATACTCTGCTCTTTTCTCTGTAATCGCAATGTTTAATCGTTTCTATGGTCTATAAGCTACGGGAAGTGTACGAATTTCGGATAGCTAGTTGGTTACTCTCTATGGTCGAGCTTCAATCGCAGTGATTCTCAATCGACTCGATCTCTTACAAAATCACGTACATGCTGAGATCTACGCACACAAATAAATTTGGGACAATGTTTTCCCTAAGAGAAAGCATCGATCGAATCACGTAACCCCTCCATCAGGCATCCCTTCTTCGCCTTCGTAGGGTTGGGTGTGCTGGGGACGAACAGTTGCTGGTTTCAAGGATGATTTCTTTTATTAAAGTCAATACACGTTTTACACTTTTCTTACAGTGACAGTGAAATCGATGGATCGACAAAGTCGCGGAGATAAGCATAAGCGTACATAGAAGTGGCTTTCGAGATTTAGGTGTAGATATATTAAAGGTTCTGTATTGTTGTGTCGATCGCTGATAATCAAACGCTTCTCCCCATTCTTTGAGCACAATAATTGGTAATAATAGCAAGAATACTATTTCCATGGTAGCTGAGTTTTATCAGATATATGTTTCGAAACAATGGCGCTTTAAATGCTCTTAAACAATGACCGGTAGGCACGAATCAAATGTTTTCAATCATTATGTTCGATTATAGTATGCGTCTGTTGGAAGCTTTTAAGGGGAAAAGCTAGGCGAAAGAAAACGAACAAGTGTTTCTCTTTGTGGATTGATTGATAGATCGATCGGTTTGCGTCAGGGTTTATTTTAAACCAACGTGTTCTTTATGCACATACTGTTCTGAGATCCCGTGCCAAAAATTAAGGATTTGCGTGAAAAGTAATTTTCTCTGTTCAGTTGACGTGTTTAAGTGGTACACGCGACAGAAGTCGGTGTAATTTTATTCAGAAGGAATTGTTCTTATAATGGTGTTCGTTCGCGAGAGTTCGGAAAGAAAAGGGGTTCGTGGATCTTTTGTTTTTCTGGTCTCGTTGGTGAATTGATAAGAAGTTTATTAACGTGACTAAAAGCCAGCCACTTTTGCTTGGCTGCAAGCTGATCCTTCTCGATTCTACGCGGTCGAAAAGTAGGTCGTGCTGATGTGAATTACAGTCATCAGCTGTAATACCACAATATCATTCCGTAGACACAGCGGTAACGAAGCCTCTTTATCTAAGAATAGTTTGTAATTAATATCCTTAGTATCTGTTTCATCGTAACATTTCACACGTAACCGTTTCATTCCTTGCTATTTCTCAATTACGCAACAGAAACACTTTCCTTTAGTACTTTCTTTCACAGAGAAAGCACTTTTTCTCTCGACGTAGGAAATAAATAAAAAAAACTAATAATTCTTCTCTACGAAAAATATTGCTATATATGTTGTTACGATTAATACTCAACGAATGTTGTAATCAATCTTACGATCTTTAAATCTAGAATGAAAAAACCAACTGAGTTGTAATGTAAATTTTTACTTTGGTTATACTGATCAATTTCACAAATTGAAATGCGTAGAATTACAAACGTTATTTGTTTTAAGTTTTAAGAATTTTTCTTGGCTTTCTATTTTTTAAAACGTTAAATTAGGAATCCGGATAACGTTAAATTAATAATTTCTACTTTTGAAAAGCTCATAGTTTAGAATCTAATTTAATATTTTGATATATATGTTGCGATAAACGAAATTCTAGAGCCAATTGCATTAATTTCTGCATGCCACGTTATATTTCTACAAAGGATGCTCGTTTTTTGCGTGGTCGCAAAACAGTCGAGCCTCTGCCCCATAACGTAGTACCGGGAAGGGTTTAATTTATGGCACCCTCAAGTATTTGTCGCTTTCACTTGCTGCTGCCAAGCCCCATGGCAACAGGAAAAAAAAAAACCGTTCGAAACTCTCTTACAATCTTCTCCAAAATACTCGTGCAACAATTTACATTTCACTCTCAAAGGAACAACAAGTGTAATATCGGAAATCAACATATCGTCGGTGTGGGATTTCGCTGGTAGAAATGATTCCAGACGTGGAAGCTCAATGAATAAGCAAACACACAGCAGCGGTGTGCGATAGAAACAAAGCGAGAGTACGAGCACTCGTTGGAACGAACTCTTGGCAGGTGCAACTCCTCGTCCCAACGACGAACGCCGACACACGTTGTACGTTGTTCGCCCGCTAGACCTTTCATGGCTCCTCTCTCATTCTTTCACGCCGTTTCTAAAAGATCGTTGGGCCGTGCCAGGGACTTGGTTCGACGTACACATTTGGTGTGAGGTACTTGGCAGCCTCGCGGTTGTATACAGCTGGGGACGAAGGCAGATGGGGAGAGATAGAGAGAGAAAAGGAGAGATCGTATTGGACGTTGACCCGCGTGGTTCAACTGTTGCTCCCATTCGCGCATCCGGGAACGCGTGTAAGAAGGCCTGGGGATCCCGATGATAGAAGAGTCTTCTGTTAGCTAGGAGGTCTACCGAGCTCCTCCCTCCGTCCAGTGTTGAATGCCTGAAGAATGACAAAGCCAGACGATTCGCGCGATTTCTATAGAGAAAAATGTTGATCGTCTGCTCTTCTTTGATAAGATCAAGCAGAATGTAGGTTGAACATCGATGGACTTGAGATTTTTCTCCATTGTGTTGTAATGGAGGTGCATTCTAGGTTATTAATCACACATTCTTTTGATCTAGTTGTGTAGGATTATTAAAATGACCTGTTAGTACAGCTGTTAATACAGCTATATAGCGCAGTTGTAGAACACTGCCGATGGCATAGACGTGTTCTCATTTGTGTAAATTATTTAGATGTTTTATGGTTTATAGATAGTGGTCGGACACGTAATATCATCCGCTTGAAGATTAATGGAATTTCATAGCACTTGGCGTCATCGATGACGCTTCGAACCCGAGATAGCGCGTCAAATTGCCAGCCATTTAATTTTTAACTCGCTACATACAAAGATACCCTTTACACGAATCGTCTTCGACGATTTCATTTCTTTACTCTGCTCCAACTTATTTTCCAAATTCTCAGAAGTACTGCATCATAGGAGAATCAAAATAAATAAAATTTTTCACGATTTCTTATGATTCAGCGAATTCCCTGATAGCAGATTTATATGACTTCCTGAGTATATGTAGCGGCGAACGTGTATTTCTTAAAATAGTTCCAGGGTTACCTGGAAGACCAAGATGACCAAATATTTAATAACGTCAATTCCCCATAGATCCCCCCCCCCCCGAAGAAAGTTAGTTTGCTGGCCTCATTCTACTCGAATCGATTGCCCCGAGCCCCTCTGACGGTTGAGGATGGTGTTAAACACAGCGATTAACACAATCTTTGAACATGCTACCGCCAACGGCAACCTGTCACACGGCCGACAATGGCGTCATGGCGACGCCGGTAGTCAGCCGGTACGCGGGCGCCGTGGCGCCAGCGTCGCTTATCCCTTCTCTCTGCCCAGTTCATCCGCCCAGGCGTTCTTCTCTCGAAACCACGTCCTTCCTGGGTGTGGTTCGAAACAGTGTCGAAGGTTGTGCCCAGCTTCCATTGTATCATTTCGACTTCGTCGTCTTCGTTTTCTTTTTGTCGTAGTCTCAGACGTCGTCTCGTTTCTCCTCTCTTTCATTCAGGAGGACACACAGTTGCACAGAGTTCGCGTGTACACTCTTTATACCGAGCGTATATATAACGAACGAAGAGGGAGAGCATAGTAAGCGATAGGGAGAAAAAGAGAGAAAGAGAGAGGAGAGAGAGAGAGAGAGAGAGAGAGGTTGAAGATAGAAAAAGACAGAGAGACAGACCACAGTAGGGCGAGCCACGACTGTTCATCGATTCGCCGCTTCCACGGTTCTGTGAACGCGGCATGAAAAGAGTCTAGCACCGTCAATGTGCGCATTTGACCGGCCCTCGTACGTGTGCATGCGTGTGCCCGGTTCTTGCTAGGGGCAGTACTTTACCTTCCGGTTTCCCATCGAACCGCTGGGCTCCTAACAGTTCCTGGCGTTCCATCGACGGCGCAATCTGGCGGTAGACCACGAGTTCAGAGAGGCCACCCTTTGCCCTCTGCACGAACCTTCCACGCAGAGAGGTTATGTTTGCTCGGGATTCATGACGCTCTGACAGGAGTGGAAGGCGGACGGAGCGGGTAAGTCGCGGCTCTTCTGCACCTCTCTCCTCCAGTCTTTGTGCACGTTGTATTACAATAATCTTGTGAAATTTTTGAGAAATGAAAAGCACATTCGTTCGAAGAGATTGGTACAGGGAATTTTTATCGAATCGTTTTTATTCACCGGAGAATGAAGTTTCATTCTTAAAGGGGCTTGTTACTATAGTGGGTAGCTAGGATGATCAGAGTTTCTTTCAATGAAATTCATTTCTTCTTTTTTTTTTTTTCCTCTTTTCAAAGATATCTAGTATTATATTTCGTTTCGCGGTGTTTGCTCATGCGCCGAACGATTTTTTATTGGTTCCGGAAAATGAGAACACTTTGCGTTGGATCGACAACCCTTAGGTTCCCCCGGGTTATGAGACCTTTTGGAGGTGAAGGACGCTCGTTGCCACGAAATTTCAATGTGGCTTAAAAAATTAAGTAATACCGACGAAACGAAGGGCGAGACTGAATGAACGCTGATACAGGCTACAGGCTAATAAAATTTGCAGAAAATATGTTTAGACTATTAAGGGTGGTCTCGTCACAGCAGGAGTTTAAGTTGTTTAACAGATTTTCCACAAGTTTGTAGGTTACTTTGCTTCAAACGCAATCGGTTCGTTAGTTAAAAATAGCTCGTTGTTCTCGCAACGTTGTTCGTACACAGTTTACGAATATTTTTTATGTTAAAAGGACATGAGAATATTCTACGGAAGTTAGAAAAAATAAGAATTGATTCTCGCCGATATTGAGAACGCTATGCTTTTTTACTCAACAATGGAAGATTAATGACGCTCCATTAATGCACAAACAAAGAAACATGTTGACCGTGACACGAATCTGCCAACGAATGTAGCAGGTTGGATAAAAATAGAATAATAAAAATGTAATAACCATTACACTACACCGTAGCCTTTCTGGTGACGGAGTATAAAAACTAATAAGTATTTCTTTATGAAAATGTATTCTAAAGTTAGAATATATATTCTTCCGTCGTTTGGTCTTGACAGTGTATTGTACTTGAAGTATATCTTTTATTCAACCATGCTTATGATTTTGTGTTCTACAATTCGGCAGTTCAAAGATAAATTTAGGATAACTGTTCTATACATCGAATAAGCCACTCTCTTATGAGAATCACCTAATAAACTTAAATTTCTAAAGCTCCACGGCAAATCTCTTGAATTAAAAGGGAAAGTAGCAGTAACTAATAATGAAAGCAAGCTAATAATTTGTGTGATTCTGGTTTCAGGGGTGGCAACGGTCTCGCTAGAAGGTGTCGAAGCTGGCGCGTGGGGCGGGAGAGTCAGCGGTGGTCTGGCTCTGGTTCCGGTGGTAGCGGCGGAAACGGAAGCCGCGACAGCAACAGATCAGAGAGAAAGACTGGAAAAGGCTGGTCATTGGAAAAAGAGATTCGATCATCTTCTAGTTCTTCTTTCTACCCTTCCCGTTCCTGGTGGTGGAAGACTGGACGATATTTATTGGTCATCGGAAAAAACGTCGACGGCGTGACAGTGGGCCCCAACCACCTTCGTGCAAGAAGGAAACGCGAAATAGGACTAATCCATTCCTGAAAAATCACATTTTAGGATTCATCGGAGGTATACTGCCTCCTTCTCGAGAGACACCGTTTTTTTCCATCCTTCGCGGATACTTACGCTTAGCGCATCATTAGACAGTCATCATGAGCGAAGTCGAAACCCTTCGTCAAGAGGCGGACAAGCTAAAAAATGCTATTCGAGTAAGTTCTGTTTGTTATTCTGCGGTTCGTTAAAAACTAATAGACGATTAGCTTCGTTCGTCGTATCGTAAAAGAATTTCTTTTAGGAGAAGTTCGGGAAAGTGAAGTCAGTTTCTGGAACAAAAGGGAAAGTTAATTATCTAAGTAATTCACCAGTAATTGTAGCTTTCAACGTGGGTGAATTACTTATTACTTGGGTAGAATAGTAGTACTTTGTAGTATAGAGCACTTGGAGAGAACAATTGTAGATTTAGGTAACCGTTATGAAGAGGTTATAGCCAATAAAGTCCGTATAGTTATCCATGGCTAGTTCGCTTGATGGTGTTAACTAAGTTGATTTACTCGGTACGGAATTTCATATCGCGACTGTTTCCTGTCAATGAATTATCTGGAAACCGTAAGAGATAATGACTTGGCGATAATGATTGGGCGGTGGTTCTCGTTTAACTCGAATACTTAACGTTTTATATAACTATGGTATTTTTCGTTGATTCATATCAATAATCTGGGTAATTTACTATGGGTTAGTTCGTAGTTGAAATTCGTGTGTGGCACTTCATACGCTTTCCTTGTTTGCTGGCAATCTCTGAAACATCGAGGACAAAGCAACAGTTCTACATGCAACAGCAGTGTATTGTCTTAATAGAAAAAAAAAAGTCTAGGGCGTCTCTCGGCTCGAAGTGCACTTGGCATTAAACAACCGACCCCTATTCTTCCCCTAACGAGTCGGCGATTTTTTAGGTTTTGCCGTGCTCAAAATGTGATTGAAACAAAATCACAAACAATTGTTTATTAAAACGACACTTTTATTCCTATGACACTTTGTCCTATTATTTTTATTAATATAATTTTTCCATTCCATATTTATTGCACTCTTTGGGTGTACTTAACGAGTCAGTAGTTTTTCCTAACTCTTCGAAATTAACATTTAATATTACTATAAAATATAAAAAATATTACAAGATAATAAATCTTCTCATATTTATACAATTTTTATAATCCATGTTTGTACCCTCAAAAGATTGTTGACCTTTCTTAACTCTATAAATCCAATATTCAATATTATCATAAAATGTAAGGTATTATTATGAGATAGTTCATTTTATTTGCTTTATTTTATTTTTTTCAAAACACTTATGTGTCATTCAGATATACAAGATTGTTATTGATCTTGCGTGTCCCATTCATAACACCAATTTGCATTCATATGCAGAATTTTGTTCTTAAAAACCGATAATTTTGTCCTTGAAATCCAGTAATACTACTCAATATATTTTGCTACTAATTTAATCGTCGAATGATGATAACGGCGTGAAAATTGACTGGAGTTAAGAGTTGTTACCTTTTGAAAAATGCTTGTCGATGGCAATCGGTGGATTCTCCACTTGTATGGTGGTGGAAACGTGAAACTCATTGTCAGAGGTGGTAGTGGTGTAGCATGTGGTGGTGGTAGGGCGCGGCATAACCGTCGCTTCACTCTGATCAATACGCCACCGTTCCTTCTCTCTCTCTTGCTCGATCTGTCTATCTCTCTTTCCCTCTTACTCGTTTACTCACGTTCTATCTTGTTCCTTCTCGCCACCTGTTTCTCTCTTTCACCCTTCTTCGATGCGTGCGTGAAATTACACGCATCGTCAGGCGTGCGCCCGTAATAGATAGAATGTACGTTCTTAAATACCCTCTTTAACAGTATTTCAATAATTTATACACACCGCGACTTATCTTCTCTGTTCACCAACGTTTAACTGATGAACAATCTAGAGTAATTCGACGTGAGCCTCGAGTACCGTTGTAGATAGTCATTTTCTTATGTCAGCGTAAAACAATGTTAACTAGGATCCTTAAACCGAGCCGTAAATATAATTGTACCTCGTTAAATGCATTGTTGTATTTTCACTCGTTTTGAAAGGTCAAGCTGAGCCGCTTGGAATTCTAAAATTTGTTTAAGAGTTTGTGTTTGAAATGTGTGTAATTCATTGAGCCCTCTTAAATTAATTTGTTGCCGCGTCCAATTGACATTTGATCTTTCAATAAGGTTAAACGAAATTTTTTTCACACGAAATATTTATTCTAAATTAAATTTTAACATACTCTTCGTTCTGCTGTATGTTCTATGTAAATTAGTACATTGAGTTTCATACGTTATTCATATTTGTTCATTTTAGGATGCCAGAAAAGCAGCATGCGATACGACGTTGGTTCAGGCCACGTCGGGCATGGAGCCTATCGGCCGGATACAGATGCGCACAAGACGCACACTTCGTGGTCACTTAGCCAAGATTTATGCGATGCATTGGGGCAGTGACTCAAGGTACACGTCCATATGGAACTACGGTTTTAAATCAATTTTCTTGGCAATTAAATATGAAAGAGAAACTAAAGCCGTTCTATTTAATTGACAGAAACTTAGTGTCAGCGTCGCAGGATGGGAAACTAATCGTCTGGGATAGTTATACCACCAACAAAGTTCACGCGATCCCTTTACGCTCTTCATGGGTAATGACCTGTGCATATGCGCCATCAGGTAGTTTCGTGGCCTGCGGTGGGCTAGATAATATTTGTTCCATCTATAGTCTTAAAACTAGGGAAGGAAATGTAAGAGTTAGCAGAGAACTCCCAGGTCATACTGGGTACTTATCCTGCTGTCGATTCTATGACGACAACCAAATTGTCACTAGTTCTGGCGATATGACTTGGTAAGGAACATTTACTATTATTTCTCACGATTCTCCATCGATCGAAACTTTTCCTAATCTGCACCATTTGCCTAACCATCTATTTTAGTATTTAGGAAGATCTCCTGAGAACGAAATCATAAAGAAAATTGTGAATGCGTAATAAAAAAAAAAATATACATCCTACCTACCCAGACCTTCCCTTAGTTTTTGGTTTTTCCTTTCTGAATGGTAATTATAGTCTAGAAAAATGTTTGGATTGCGTCACTTATATTCTTTTTAAATTAGCGCCCTGTGGGACATAGAAACTGGTCAACAATGTACCTCCTTCATTGGTCATACGGGCGATGTAATGTCCCTATCCTTGGCTCCAGACACGCGCACATTCGTATCCGGTGCGTGTGATGCCAGTGCAAAATTGTGGGACATTCGTGAAGGATCCTGTAAGCAAACTTTCCCGGGTCATGAGAGCGACATAAACGCTGTTACGGTAAGAGCTTGATGTTTGAAGCATCAATTTTGTTGTTAATTTATCTTATGTATATGACCTGTGATGTTCGACACATGATCCCAAGAGAGTCAATTACAGTAACTAATTATGTAGTAAAATGTTTAATGTGAATTATTTTATCGTATTATTTAGTTCTTCCCGAATGGATACGCTTTCGCGACGGGATCAGATGATGCAACGTGCAGACTTTTCGATATTAGGGCAGATCAAGAACTGACGATGTATAGTCACGACAATATTATTTGCGGTATTACCAGCGTAGCATTCAGCAAGAGCGGTAGATTATTACTGGCCGGCTACGACGATTTCAACTGCAATGTTTGGGATTCCATGAAAGCTGAACGAGCTGGTGGGTGTTCTTCTTGGATTTTTAAGATTGCCTTGAGGAGAGAAGAGAAACTTTATATTAAGCCCTTCTCTCTAACATCATTTTTCTTTTTTTTAAATCTTTTTCTACTTTGCTTGCCAAAATTTCATGAATTAAAGTTATTTTATAATAGTTTTAAATTTTAAATTAAATTTATACTTCATTTCTTCTATATTTATACTCCAAATATTGATCATATATCATTATTTTAGACACATGTTGTTCTACAGAAATAGACTCTAAAGAAATGACCTCTTTCGAGATGTTCTATTTTTATTTTGTAGGAATTCTTGCTGGCCATGATAATCGCGTGTCTTGCCTTGGTGTTACGGAGGATGGTATGGCAGTAGGGACGGGCTCATGGGACTCGTTTTTGCGTATTTGGAACTAACTTGGGGTTCATCCCAAGACGTTCCTCAACAGAACAAACTGCAGTAAATCAGCATACAGCATAAGCATTAAATACCACCACTTGGCCACCGAAGTCGGCGTGTCCATGTCCTCGATGGAGGCGAATTACTCCCCAAGTTCACCGGAGTTGACGTTGATTAAAAAGTTTGGACATCCGCTAGACAACAGCAGTAGAAAGACCCACGGCAGCAGCGGCAGTAGCAGCAATGAATTTAAGAACGTTTTGGGTTGTGGTGGTAAAAAGGACTACCGGAGACGCGTCGTTGATTTAACTTGGCGACGTGGCAAGGTCGGCGATAAAATCACTCGTGAATATCAGCGCTTCTAGTATATGAGTATACCGTTTGTTCGATATACTTGAACGTACGAATGATGATGATGATGATGATGATAATGATGATGATCGAGAAAGAAGTGTGGTGAAAGGAAGAACGACAGAACGGAGAGGAGCACCAAGGCTGACAGCCATATCTCTCCGATGTCGTGCGCGTTACTTCCTTTTTCTCCTCCCCTTTCTCAAGGACTACTTGGCAAACCTTCGAAGAGTACGTGCTGTTGATTATATATCTTGATAACGTCTCCTCGAAGATCTTCCCGAATTCGAAGGTTGAAACAAAGATCGATTTCCGAGACTACACCCCTCATCCCGAGGTCTACGCCGTTGGAAGCGTTTTATTATGAATAAGAATAAAAGAAAAAAAAAAAAAGGTTCCGAGCGTTCACTGCCGATGAAGCGCCGACATGGCTGCTCCGGCGGTTGATTTTACATTTCTTTTCGACACGCACGAAGCAAGTCGTACCAGGCGAGAATACGATGTGAAAAGAATGAAAAAAAAAAAAGAAGAAAAAATGGTCGCTCGCGCAGGGCACAAAAGCAAACATGATAGTGAAAAACTATATATACATATACATACATACATATATATATATATACATATATATATATATATATATATATATATATATATATATATATACGTATGTCGACGAGCAGCCAAGATTACGATAATCTCGCATATTGCATTCAACCTACACGCACACCGTACGCACGTGTATTAATACGTACATAGAAAACTACATACATACATTTGCACACAAAACGCGAAGTACCGCAAACAAAAGGCATCTGCTATTAAGTACATAGTGGATCATCCACGAGCCCTGACATATAAGTTACTATCTCTAATCATGTTTTCCCTCTTTTTTCCGTTTTCTCCTCCTTTTTTTTATGTTTAACGTTTCGATTCTCCATTGTTATGAATTTATTCTCAAAACGGATCGCTGGTTAAAGAAAAGGGAAAAAAGAATGATTTGCAAAGATTGCATCGTTTCTAATGACTTATAACCGCCAAGTTTGCATTAATATCTGTAATTTTTATAGATCTATCTTTATTTATTTTGTATAGACCACTTCTATATAGATCATCTTATATACGTTCTTATGTCTTTCTTTTTTCTTTTTTTTT